TTGAGAGCAGGATAGAATTTCCTACAGTAGAATCCTTCGTAGTCGGCAGGCCTATTAATCGCAAAGAGAGAGCCGTCAGCCGCACGGATGACGCCTGGAAACCCTATCATCGCGCGGAAACCACGCTCAACATCTTTCCATTGAGCTGCAGTGCGGGGGAGGTGTATGAAGGTCTTGCGCGCCTTCCGAATCTCCTTGCATAAAAGACCAATCACTTCACCTGCCCAAGAGTGTGACACGCCCAGCGCGAGCCCAGTGCCTCTATAGCCCTTTCCAGTTGCCAGAAAATGTAGCAGCTAGCGACTTTCTTTTCGAATCCGTGTAGTTTGTTGTATGCGTCGACAGTGTGACCTTGTAGAACGCCACGAAGAATGAAGAAGATGGCTCGAAATGACGCTTAGCTGCAGCGAAGATGACGACGAAACCAAGCGTCATACTCGCCTTGAGCGAGCACCACGTCAAAGTCGATGTTGTGGAGCGTTAGAATATTTTCTGGGGGTGCTCGTTGGGCCGTGGCAGTAGCTTGCGCAGCAGTAGCTGCGGCTGTAGATACCGCGACCAGGAGCTCACGGTGCTCCAGTGACGGGTTGATGGTGGTGGGCCAGCCAAAACCGGTGGTCTTGACAACAAAACACCTTCTTCAGGGTATTTTGCTGCAAATCTGCAAAGAATCGTGTCCGACCAATCAGATCAATCCATAGTTGAATTGAAAGCCACTACAAATAAAAACCACTTTTTCCCGAGCAGCCTCTTATAGCTCAATGGTAGAGCTTCGGCCTACCGTCTTACCCCGCATATAAGGCATATGTGCTGTAAATGAATACAACACTGCTGGTGTGCTATATTCGTCTAGAAAGCCTATGTGTTGTACAACGAACAAATTGTTTGACTTTGAAGAAGCAAGTTTGTGGGTCCTGGAATCTGGCTTGGTCGTTGAGGTTTGACCCTCCTACGCGATCGGGTAGGGCTCAAACCCGCCTGCGTGCAGTTCACATGATGTTGTGATTGGTAGCGGGTCTTTTCTTCCTGTTGTGGCTTCGTTGTATACGGAGGTTTTGCTTGTTAATATTATGAATTCTACTATTGTTTTTTTATAAGAATCGCTTGCACAAATGCATTACATGTAAATTACATGTGATTACATGATGTAATCACGTGTATTATATTATGTATCCACCTACTTTCACTGCGAAATATGATCCGGAGCAAACCAAGCACAGCGTTTTCAGAGGATTTTCAACCGTTTACGAGAATTTGGACACCAGCTTGTTGTCCTTTTCAGCAGTACGTACCTATAGCTACGTCGCTCAGCACTCATGGCTGTGTAAATTATAAAATAAGAGAGCTAAAGCCAAGTACAGCAGCACCGACAAGTTTGTTCAAAAGGGTGGTTGGTTGGGAGCTCTCAAAGAATATTCATTGGTTGGTACAGCCTTGTGTTTTAAGTAGGTTTCAGCCACATGTGTTCTAATTAAGTACATGTAGGTGGTCAAATTGAGGTTTAAGCTAGATGTCGAGCGAATCCCGTATTTTATTTAGAACACATATGCCTTATATGCGGGGTAAGACGGTAGTTTGTTCAGAAGAGTGGTTGGTTGGGAGCTCTCAAGAATATTCATTGGTTGGTACAGCCTTGTGTTTTACACATGTGTTCTAATTAGATAGGTGGTCAAATTGAGGTTTAAGCTAGATGTCGAGCGAATCCCGAATTTATTTAGAACACATATGCCTTATATGCGGGGTAAGACGGTAGTGGTTCGATCACACACCACTCGTACCCATGTGGTGTCAACACCATGTAACCTAGTATCTGTAGTTGCACTAAGGGAGGAGCGCACGCTACCGGTAGCGGTCGAGTCCGGGTTATTGCCACTTTAAATTATGTGTACTGCTATTTTAAAAAAGTGTAGATCCACCCAAAATGTGGACGGGACCACACACACAGCAAACGGGTCACCACCACCACCTTAAAATATACGACCACCACAATAGCACGATCACTGCCAAAGTATTGAAGTGTTGAAGATACAGAAATAGATAGATATACACGCTCGTCGAACTGTCGCTCATTTAAAATTACGTGGAGACAAACAACATGGAGAATGAGAACGATGATCTTTTAGATGGAGCAGGCCAAGATCCCTGCTAAACATGCGCAACAAGCGTCCTTAGTGGCGGAGGCTCAAGCCGAACCGCTCATGTGGAGACCTGCGTTCTCGACTCTGAAATGTGAAAAAGTTCTTGAGTGTTCACGTCGACTACTGAACAACAACACGCTACTATTTAAGCTGGTGCGGTGGTTCAATTTCCGCGTCGAACACGACCGAGTTCAGCTTAATAGTGTCGACATTCCAGACACTGAGGCTTCACTTGACAGCAACGAGCCAGGGAACCCGAAAAAATAATATGCGTAAAAATTAATCCTAATTTTTAATTTAATTATTAATTTATGGCTGTCAACAACGGGAACAACCCCAATTTAGAGTAAGGTCTAGTCAAGTTACAGCGTGGGGACGCGCTGAACGTCGCAGAAAAATTAGCCTGCGCTGAATTTAGGTCGCCTGATCTCGAACGGTCGTCTTCAAGAGCCGCCGAAGAGCGTTCTATTGTGAGAGCGGCGTTCAAGAAACGCAATTGCGCACTACGTCGACGTCGCGTACATCCCGCCAACGTCTAACGAGTGTGAGCGCTTCTTCTCTCTCGCTAAGCTGGTGCTGTCTGATCTACGGAAGCGAATGTCTCCAGCCAGGCTCGAGATGATAATGTTTCTGAACTACAATCGTGACTTGCGAAGTTTTGCAAATAATTGAATTTTTAATTTTCTCAGCTCACATCGATGTATTAATTTAAGTATTGCATCTTCGGGTTCCCTGCAACGAGCACAAGTGCAAAGTGGCAGAGCCAATTCCAGACTGTAGTGACCGATAGGCTCAAGACGTTGGAGAGATGCTCTTTAGCGATGCATTGCTGTACTCGGAGCCGGACCAGACCGCAATCTTCATGCCGATGAAATAGGCCTTCCGCTTGGCAGACAAGGACTGTAGCGGCGAGATCGACGCGGACGAAGTGGTAGACATGCTGGAGACCATCTTCGCCCAGTCTGGCGCGGTTAAGCAAGGCGAGATCCACAAATACGTCGAGGAATTCATGCGTGTAGTGGACAAAGATAACAGCGGCTTGGTGTCGCTCGAAGAGTTCGTCGAGGCGCTGGAGAACGGCCTCAAGCTCGAGGTGGAGGTGTACACGCAATGTAGACCCAAGGCCTCGGCTCTGGTAGCCAGACCGGAGCATGTGCTGGCAGCTATCAATGAGAACGAGGACGACGCGGGAGATTCGAGCGAGAACGACGAGTCGAAGGTCGTCGACGTGGACTCTGGCGACAAGATTCAGTCCAAACTTCCACCTTTGGATGTGCAGGAAGCGAATGTCAACAATTGTCGAGCCGCGATGCCGTCACGTGAGAGCTAACGCAACTCGTCCCAAGCTTCGTCCGTTGAGAAGAACAAGAGAGTCTCGTCGGCTGCGTCATCGGCTCCTGCCATGTGTCGCGAGCACGACGTTCTAAATGTGGAGGATTCCTTCAGTAGCGATATTGCGGCGCAGATGAAGACTGCGTACGTGGAATGGCTGCTGGAAGAACGTCGCTACGAGAAGGTGTCGATGGAGGAGCTCTTACTTCTCAACTGTCTCGCCAGTGGGGCGGAGGGTATTGCCAAGAGTCTCACAGAGATGGCAGAGATCGTCGTAGCCTCCTAACGAGAAAATTCGCATACAAATATCGAAAACAATACATTTTTCTTTTTGATGAGGCCACAAAAGTCACTGTCTTGTTGCCTCAACAACAGCGTCTTTGTAGCCTGGAAGGTTTTGCTCTGATCCAGACCTGCTTCATCACGGGCGTGTAGCGTTCCGGACGGTAACCGAGTGGGAACAACATCTCGAGCTACATGAACATCGGAGCGGTGATCAGAGCCTGGTCCAGGCTGTCGAAGAGTGCCGGTTTGCGACGATCGAAGACGCCGTGACCAATGAGCTGCATGATCCAGGCTGTGGGCGTGGATGGCCAATGCGTGCATACTGTGCACGTCCATGGCCTTGGCACCCTCGACAACGAAGTAGTTGGCAAGTACGATCCAGACGGAGATGATGGCGACGACTAAGTGCCAGTACTTTGACTACGAGCGCGACCCAATCAGCCCTTCTTCATGTCGAGCTCATTGCACTGCACCAGCAAACATGGTAGATGAACGCAGAATCAACATGCTAGAAACGCTCATTTTATAACATCAATGAACGTACTTGTGCTTCTCTTGGAGCTGCGTTGGTGGTCGGTCTTGGGTGCCGCTACTCTGGACGGAGTGTGGTGCTGGAGCTCTTGGGCTCAAGTTGGAGAATGACACTGCAAAGATAGCTTAATGGTTAAGGGGCACGTGGACTCCACCATCCCAGCCACAACCTCGTAGAGTGTGGTCTCTGCTCGGATTCCAGCCGAAATGTAGTGCCATGGCACGCTGCAAGGGAAAGTGAGGCGTCGTTGACAGCGACTTGTTGTTGCTGCAACTACAATATGATCGCTACAACTTAGTGCTCGAATCACTTCACCTATGCTAATGATTCGAACAAAAGCACTGACATGGAGTGTTTATTCGCTTTGTGCTAAGTGTTACTGCTTCCTATATGCGTGGATACTCCACTTTTATTTTGTGAGTGATAGCTGTCCACCATTCGTGTGCATTCTCCCTTTATTTTGGTGGCGGTTACAACTTATTTGGTGGCGTTACACCTACCTCGTAGCGGTCCAGTGGTCGGAGATGCCCCACAATGGAGAGGACTCGGACCTGCGGGTTCTTGCGACGCGTGGCACAAACTTGTGTGGTTGACAAATCAGTAATTATAAACTGTAAAATATTTTTAATCACAAACATGGTCAATCATGGTAAAAACACATTGAAAACACATTGCGAGAATCATGGAGCTTCTGTATTTTTGTGAGCTTCGATCTAAGCGACATCCTGTTTCTCGTCCTCCACAGGCACGTGAACGCGATCAACGCCCACGATCCAGCGGCCTAGCTGCTTGACGCACGAAGCCAAGACGCCGTCGTCTTCAGCGATGCCCTCGTCCACCACGAGCTCTTTGTCGGTCTCAGTGGGAGGCTGGAGGAACCCACTATATGGCACCAGACTCGTTCCCTCTTCCTTTGCCGCTGCTGGCATACTCGAAACATCTACTGCGTGCTCCTTCGGGCCCACGCGCTCATGGCTATCCACCACCGAAGTGGACAGATCAACCTTCTTCATCTGTTGCTCGTAAATCCTACGCTCCATCGTGCCCGTGCTCACAAGTCGATACACGTGCACAGTTTTGGCTTGGCCGATGCGATGCGAGCGGCACATTGACTGAAGCAAGGCAGCAAACTGCAAGTTAGTTCCACGTCATTACAGCAACTAACAACGGTAACTCTGTTGCTTACCTGGTGATCGTTGGAGGGATTCCAGCTAACGTCGAAGAGCACCAGGCGGTTCGCTGCGTGGAGGTTGATGCCCTCTGCACCAGCACGTGTAGACACTAAAAGCAGCTTCACTGGAGAATCAGGCGAAGTGAAGCGCTGCACAAAAGACACAACAACGGCTAGTCAGTTAAGGCAATCACAACCGGAGGCGCACAAGAACTGTCATGCGACATACCTGAATGTATTCCATACGTTTGGAGCCATGTGTGCTGCCGTCGATCTGCAAAAACCATTCATTGGATGTCACGTTTGACACCGCAGCGACGGTGCCGGTTTTGCGAGCACGGGATGATTTAGCTCCAGCCTGGTTTCGCCGCTTGCGTAGGATTCCTGCTGGGTCACGATTCGGGCGCGGGGCTACTCGACGACGCTTCGGTTTGCTTGCAGGACCGCTGTTCTTTAAGCGCTTCCGTTCATTTGCAGCATCGTCAGCAACACGCGATGGACTGAAGGCACTTGCACGCAGGAAATTGGAGATGACCTTCAAGGTCGGAACGCTCTGGGAGAAGATGACCACTTTATCACCGCAAGCGAAACTTTCTTCCACGATACGCAAAAGCACCGCCATCTTACCACTGTTTTCGAGCACTTGTGTGTGATACGCACTTGCCATAGGCTGCACTGAAGGCACAACAACTTCTCTGTCGTTGCCGAAGATCACAGAGCGCGCCCACTCGTAAGACTTTTGCGTGTCCGTGAGTTTCTGGCGCTTCCTACGCCTCTGAGCAGCAGCAATCTGTCGCTTTTCCTGTAAACGCTCTTCACTCTCCCAAGCCCAGCCGCTCGAATCGTCCAGAGCGTCAGTGCATTCGTCGTCTTCTAGTAGCAACGCGGACCCATCACCCTGGGAAGGACAGAGCTTTGAGTAAATAATATCCGGGTGGTTCATCACCTGCAGCAGTGCAGCATACGCTGTCAATAGGTCAGCCGTGGTTGCACCACCATCACCATAAAACTCGAGAAAATCACAATATAAACGGTGCTGTAGTGGCGAAAGCTTGCAATACACGATCCACTCTATCTTAGGTGGAAGCTGGGATCGCAACAGCGCCTTGCCTCGACGCAACACGACACTCTGAAGCCGCTGAATCAATTCTTGGGAACGAGCCACATTTCCCTCTAAAATGGGTCGCTCGTATTTCGCTCGGAACTCGTCGTAGCTACCTAGAAAACCCTCCCGCGCAAAATTGACCATGCACCAGTACTCGGATAGTGAATTCTGCACCGGGTAGCCAGTGAGGACTAAACGTCGAGGGCTTTGAATCTGAGCCACACTCTGGCACAGTAATGAACTTGGGTCTTTCATCCGGTGACCTTCATCCATGACAACAAGATCAGCTCCTGGAGCACACAGTAGCTGGCGAAACTCACGTGCTGTGCGCTGCACTTTGGCCGTCTCATGCGCTGAAGTACTGGTGATTTCCATAGTGGCTGAAGCCATTCGCGAGCACACTCGGATAGATGTATCGCGCTCTGTAGCGCAGCTCATCGGCGTCGTCGTAGGGTTCAACAATCCACGAAACATTTCGTAGCCCATTAGCAAAACACCACCCGAACTCTTCCATCGTTGTAGTAGTCGCAATCGACCCGCAGTAGTACCTTTTGTTGTGGAAGAATCCAGCGTTAGCACAGGACAGCGCGCACGCGCGTCGGTACCCAGCCATTTTTGAAACTCGGAATCCCAGTTAGGTAAACAAATAGCCGGACACAGCACCAGCACCGTCACCGGTGGTTCCTCATCCTCGTGGTTTTTGTCAGGTTCTCCTGCTTCCTTCAGGCCTGCTTTGTTCGTATTGCCACCAAGCGACGTGGCGTCAATGCTGCGTCGCTTACGAGCGTCGATCTCGTCAGCTATGTAGGAATAGATAACAGTGATAACTTGCAGCGTCTTGCCAAGCCCCATGTAGTCTGCCAAGATGCACCCACGGCCAGCAGCCACGTGCGAGTGTAGGAACTGCACGCCTTCCACTTGGTGCGGCTTCAGCAAGGGTTTGATCTCTTTTGCAATCCACACACACCCTTCGCTCGTCTCTTGCTTATCACTGGCAATCGAACCTAGGAGTACGCGCCCATACTCATCGGTCTCTTCGTCAACAATATCTCGATCTTGGTACGAGATCGGCGGGCTCGCAACCTCCACGCTTGTAGTTTCGTCTTCGCCTAACATTGTGGTGTCATCTTCGGTGGGGCAAATACACGGCATCATCATGCAGCTCATACACTGCGATGTGGCGTTGGCCGCGAATAGCTGGCGCAGCTTCGCTTTCGCTGTCATGGCCCCAGAATTTTGACCTCCGTCAGTTTCCTCCAACAAGTCTACAGCATCAGCAACGTCACCTACACAAATGCAAGGCAGAAGACCACAAGTGCATCCGCTACCACCCATCACACGTGTCTCTGTTGCTTTACGCCGCGAAGAACGTCTACTTACCAATGACCGATCTAAACAAGCATGTGAAATATGTGTACCACATATGGCTACATGAAAAGTATATTGAGCCTAAAACAAGTCTGAAGCAGGTGTCACTGAACGCAGTTCAATCCCCGAAGCTGCGTTCTGGTTGACACCAGTACTGGTATCCTTGTCTTGTGCTCCATTCTTAGTAGCTGTAGAAGCCGATCCGGTCAAACGAAGAGAATTATGGCCAACAGCACCAGCTTCGCCGAAAATGTCCTTGAACTCGAGATCATCGGCGGTGACATCGTTGTTTTCGAGCTCGACTGGTGTATAACTAGCGTCTTGAGCAATTACATCAGTTCCGCCGGAAATGTCATTAAATTCGAGATCTGCGTCAATTTCATCTCTCGACGTCATGGCGGTGTTCGATTCGTTGTAGGCAACTGAAAAATTCTCACAGGTGACTGAAATCTGACTAGCCTGAGCGCTACCGGAGTAATTCAGCGCGACGCCAGCCCCAGTTGAAGACTCGTGGCATTGTTCAATCTGTTCATCTGAAACGCTTTCCGATTCGGTTGGCGTCGTCCTTGGTGCGCTGATTACTGCATCAAAACTGCCGCTAAAGTCCTCGCTTGGGGTGAATCCTTGTTGCTGTGGTTCGCTGGTGCCACCCTCCCCCCAGCCACCGAACGAAGTTTCTGTAGTCTTGTGCGGGGTCGAGAAGGTGGCAGTCTCGTCCTCAGCGTCCAATACCATTTCAGTGAGCGCAATGGCATCTGCACTAGCGGTGGAAGCTGGGTCCGTGTGGACCATCGGAGCATCCGCAGGGTCACCTTGTTCAATCTTTTCATCTGAAACGCTTTCCGATTCGGTTGGCGTCGTCCTTGGTGCGCTGATTGCTGCATCAAAACTGCCGCTAAAGTCCTCGCTTGGGGTAAATCCTTGTTGCTGTGGTTCGCTGGTGCCACCCTCCCCCCAGCCACCGAACGAAGTTTCTGTAGTCTTGTGCGGGGTCGAGAAGTTGGCAGTCTCGTCCTCAGCGTCCAATACCATTTCAGTGAACGCAATGGCATCTGCACTAGCGGTGGAAGCTGGGTCCGGGTGGACCATCGGAGCATCCGCAGGGTCACCTTGCTCAATCTGTTCATCTGAAACGCTTTCCGATTCGGTTGGCGTCGTCCTTGGTGCGCTGATTACTGCATCAAAACTGCCGCTAAAGTCCTCGCTTGGGGTGAATCCTTGTTGCTGTGGTTCGCTGGTGCCACCCTCCCCCCAGCCACCGAACGAAGTTTCTGTAGTCTTGTGCGGGGTCGAGAAGTTGGCAGTCTCGTCCTCAGCGTCCAATACCATTTCAGTGAACGCAATGGCATCTGCACTAGCGGTGGAAGCTGGGTCTGTGTGGACCATCGGAGCATCCGCAGGGTCACCTTGTTCAATCTGTTCATCTGAAACGCTTTCCGATTCGGTTGGCGTCGTCCTTGGTGCGCTGATTGCTGCATCAAAACTGCCGCTAAAGTCCTCGCTTGGGGTGAATCCTTGTTGCTGTGGTTCGCTGGTGCCACCCTCCCCCCAGCCACCGAACGAAGTTTCTGTAGTCTTGTGCGGGGTCGAGAAGTTGGCAGTCTCGTCCTCAGCGTCCAATACCATTTCAGTGAACGCAATGGCATCTGCGGTGGAAGCTGGGTCCGTGTGGACCATCGGAGCATCCGCAGGGTCACCTTGCTCAATCTGTTCATCTGAAACGCTTTCCGATTCGGTTGGCGTCGTCCTTGGTGCGCTGATTGCTGCATCAAAATATGCCGCTAAAGTCCTCGCTTGGGGGGATCCTTGTTGCTGTGGTTCGCTGGTGCCACCCTCCCCCCAGCCACCGAACGAAGTTTCTGTAGTCTTGTGCGGGGTCGAGAAGTTGGCAGTCTCGTCCTCAGCGTCCAATACCATTTCAGTGAACGCAATGGCATCTGCACTAGCGGTGGAAGCTGGGTCCGTGTGGACCATCGGAGCATCCGCAGGGTCACCTTGTTCAATCTGTTCATCTGAAACGCTTTCCGATTCGGTTGGCGTCGTCCTTGGTGCGCTGATTGCTGCATCAAAACTGCCGCTAAAGTCCTCGCTTGGGGTGAATCCTTGTTGCTGTGGTTCGCTGGTGCCACCCTCCCCCCAGCCACCGAACGATGTTTCTGTAGTCTTGTGCGGGGTCGAGAAGTTGGCAGTCTCGTCCTCAGCGTCCAATACCATTTCAGTGAACGCAATGGCATCTGCACTAGCGGTGGAAGCTGGGTCCGGGTGGACCATCGGAGCATCCGCAGGGTCACCTTGCTCAATCTGTTCATCTGAAACGCTTTCCGATTCGGTTGGCGTCGTCCTTGGTGCGCTGATTGCTGCATCAAAACTGCCGCTAAAGTCCTCGCTTGGGGTGAATCCTTGTTGCTGTGGTTCGCTGGTGCCACCCTCCCCCCAGCCACCGAACGAAGTTTCTGTAGTCTTGTGCGGGGTCGAGAAGTTGGCAGTCTCGTCCTCAGCGTCCAATACCATTTCAGTGAACGCAATGGCATCTGCACTAGCGGTGGAAGCTGGGTCCGTGTGGACCATCGGAGCATCCGCAGGGTCACCTTGTTCAATCTGTTCATCTGAAACGCTTTCCGATTCGGTTGGCGTCGTCCTTGGTGCGCTGATTGCTGCATCAAAACTGCCGCTAAAGTCCTCGCTTGGGGTGAATCCTTGTTGCTGTGGTTCGCTGGTGCCACCCTCCCCCCAGCCACCGAACGATGTTTCTGTAGTCTTGTGCGGGGTCGAGAAGTTGGCAGTCTCGTCCTCAGCGTCCAATACCATTTCAGTGAACGCAATGGCATCTGCACTAGCGGTGGAAGCTGGGTCTGTGTGGACCATCGGAGCATCCGCAGGGTCACCTTGCTCAATCTGTTCATCTGAAACGCTTTCCGATTCGGTTGGCGTCGTCCTTGGTGCGCTGATTGCTGCATCAAAACTGCCGCTAAAGTCCTCGCTTGGGGTGAATCCTTGTTGCTGTGGTTCGCTGGTGCCACCCTCCCCCCAGCCACCGAACGAAGTTTCTGTAGTCTTGTGCGGGGTCGAGAAGTTGGCAGTCTCGTCCTCAGCGTCCAATACCATTTCAGTGAACGCAATGGCATCTGCACTAGCGGTGGAAGCTGGGTCTGTGTGGACCATCGGAGCATCCGCAGGGTCACCTTGTTCAATCTGTTCATCTGAAACGCTTTCCGATTCGGTTGGCGTCGTCCTTGGTGCGCTGATTGCTGCATCAAAACTGCCGCTAAAGTCCTCGCTTGGGGTGAATCCTTGTTGCTGTGGTTCGCTGGTGCCACCCTCCCCCCAGCCACCGAACGATGTTTCTGTAGTCTTGTGCGGGGTCGAGAAGTTGGCAGTCTCGTCCTCAGCGTCCAATACCATTTCAGTGAACGCAATGGCATCTGCACTAGCGGTGGAAGCTGGGTCCGGGTGGACCATCGGAGCATCCGCAGGGTCACCTTGCTCAATCTGTTCATCTGAAACGCTTTCCGATTCGGTTGGCGTCGTCCTTGGTGCGCTGATTGCTGCACCAAAACTGCCGCTTAAGTCCTCGCTTGGGGTGAATCCTTGTTGCTGTGGTTCGCTGGTGCCACCCTCCCCCCAACCACCGAACGAAGTTTCTGTAGTCTTGTGCGGGGTCGAGAAGTTGGCAGTCTCGTCCTCAGCGTCCAATACCATTTCAGTGAACGCAATGGCATCTGCACTAGCGGTGGAAGCTGGGTCCGGGTGGACCATCGGAGCATCCGCAGGGTCACCTTGCTCAATCTGTTCATCTGAAACGCTTTCCGATTCGGTTGGCGTCGTCCTTGGTGCGCTGATTGCTGCATCAAAACTGCCGCTAAAGTCCTCGCTTGGGGTGAATCCTTGTTGCTGTGGTTCGCTGGTGCCACCCTCCCCCCAGCCACCGAACGAAGTTTCTGTAGTCTTGTGCGGGGTCGAGAAGTTGGCAGTCTCGTCCTCAGCGTCCAATACCATTTCAGTGAACGCAATGGCATCTGCACTAGCGGTGGAAGCTGGGTCCGTGTGGACCATCGGAGCATCCGCAGGGTCACCTTGCTCAATCTGTTCATCTGAAACGCTTTCCGATTCGGTTGGCGTCGTCCTTGGTGCGCTGATTGCTGCATCAAAACTGCCGCTAAAGTCCTCGCTTGGGGTGAATCCTTGTTGCTGTGGTTCGCGGATGCCACCCTCCCCCCAGCCACCAAACGAAGTTTCTCTTATTGTTTCTGAGGCCGTAAAGGCACCGAAAAATGGGCCTTGAGTCGGACTCTGCGTGGGTGGGGCTTGATTGATACTTTTGTATTCCCAGGCAGAGAAAGGTGAAGGTGATTGATCTCGGAATGTATCAACGTTTAATTCGTTGAATGTTGTTGGGATGGACCACGTGCTGTCGCCGGTAGAACGATCTATATATGTCTTGGAATCGCTAAGAGAAGGCAAAACTGTAGCAGCAGCTCCACGCTCACTTGTAGTATCATTCCAACTAAAAACGCCAGATGCTGCACTTCCGATATGATCGCCAAACGGGTCCTCTGTCTTCTCGTTTGCAGTTGTAGCAACGTTCGTCGGTGCTATGGTTTCATCGGATACCCTGAAATCCGAAAAGGGATCATCCAGCACATCTTGAGCTGTACCACCCGAGAACGGGTCTTCACGAAGAGTAAAGAGCTGGTTATGGAATCCATCACCAGACGTAACTCCCTGTTGTCGTGCTTGTCGTGGTGTCTTTTCCGCGAAAGACAAAACCGCGTTTGCGTGTTGAGCAATTGGGTTTTGTCCCTGTGCATGTGCCTCATCACGAATCTGGGCTAGAGCTCGGATACTCATACGCTGCGATGCAGCGGTCTCCAGAAGCGCCTGCTTCGCGAGGCGCAGTATCAGCGCATGACTCCATTCTCCAGACTGAACAGCATGCTTTAGACATCCTTTGCGGTTACTGAGGAACTGCAATGTACATTGCTTGACGACAAGACTGTCTGAAGCGCCAGTGCTAGTAGGTGCGCACTGGTAGTCAAGAACCTCATTGATAGATGAAAAAACGACTTCGCCTAAGGATGCGGGAGCACATTCAGGCAAAGCAGTGTGCCAAATTGCAGTCAGTAAAGCAGCGTGCCACACACAAGGTCGCACTCGAAACCACGCCAGAACAACTCGAAGACACCCTAACAGAAGTGGTTTCTCGACTTGATATCCATACGATTTTAACGTGGTCACACAGCGACGGAATAGTGTCCAGGCGATCGCAGCGCGGCGCTCTGGTTGAATATGACCAAACGGAAGTGTTTCAAGCTGCCAAAAGATACTTGTCCAGTGGCCTCCACTGTCTCCAATTAGCTCAGCACTGCTATAACGAGGAAGTAACCAAACAAAGGCACGAAGAGCTTCACAAGCAACAAATGCATTGCTATGTTCAGTCAGCGAGTGAATGCGTAGCGTAAGCTGGCTCAGATAGGTCGGAATCTCCATCTTCTGCCCTTCTACGGGACCCAAGCGAAGTACGCCAGCGTCTATGTGCTCTGCTACAAACTGCACAGCGCGGCACACTCGATGCAGCGTAACAGTACTGCGTAGTAGTCCCGATGGGTCGAGAGTAGCTGGAAGCAGGGGTAGCAATGCGGTCGCTACTACCTCAAAAATGCACTTCGAACCCCAATTAGGTTGTTTTCGAAAGCTATCCTTCGGCGAAGTTCCTCTCAAAGCCTCCTCCACGGCGACCAAAATAACTGCGGGGGCCACGCCTGCTTTTGTGGTGGTATCATCGGCTATTGCTGTTTGAATAACATCCATAAGATACTCTTCAAGCTGTGCTGAAAGCGCGTTCGAAATAAGGAAGCCTTGTAGGGCAGGGTTCTGATCATGCGACTGCTCTGAAGCTGTTTCGGACAATGTTTGTCCCAGTGTTGAAATGATATTGAAGAGTCCGGAGTCGTTCGGTGCGGTGCTGTTCTGTTGCTGTAATTGGTGAGCTGGCAGCCGGAACATTTGACCGCACAGACGCAGCAGGTATACAGAAGTCATAGAGTCTCCACCGAGCAACGAACGAGGTCGAGCCTCCAGCAGAAATAACTCGATCGCTTTGGCCACGGTTACTGCGCTTGACGGTCGGTCTTCGCTCAGTACTGGTGACATCAAAAGCGACAACAGCGTCTTCGCAGCATGGCGAGACGCTGGGCCCGCCGGTATCATAAATGCAAGCTGCGCTAGCTTGTTCGCCACACATGCTTGTTCTTCTGGTTCCGTATGGAAGCGTACAGCATGGCAAGCTCCTGCCACAGCACCAAACTGCGCAGGCACTGGAGGGGGTAGCCGTTTCCCCTTAGCATCTGCAGAATTTCCAGCATATGCAAGTACTGGTGATTGCTGCAGCAGTGCCGCAGTGTAACTCACCAGATGTTCTCTCTTCTGAAAGACCCGACAGAGCTGTGCGTACACGCGCAACGTAGATCGCTGGCGTGGTAGCAGCAGCCCCGACGGCGTCGTCACGGCCGTCTCCAGTGTCAACAGAAAGTTGGCCAGCACTTGCTCCGCCGCATCTACACTTTGATTCTGGTTTATCTTCTGCGCGTCCGTGGGCCTCGTTGTCATCTCTTTCTGAATCTCGAACTGATCGATTAGCCGAGTCAGGAGGCAGAGTGCAACGCGGGCGATGCGTTGGTGCTCATCCTTAAGCAGTGTGATCTCCTTCTTGTCTTTTAGCTGTGGTAACAGAGTGCACAAGCCGCTGAGCAGCGACAGAGGGATACGCGCGCCTCGTCCTGCCGATGTATAGAAGAAGGTAAGCGCACGCAGCACGTCCGCCATCTTTCGCGATGCGACATCCTTGGTTCCCAGTAGCTTTGCCAGCTCGTTCAGCAGCTGCTGCTCCGACGAGCACTTGTTGCGCAAATATCCGTTCATGTGCGTAATGAGCTATGGCCCTTACCGGTCGCTTCAAGATCTCTTCTTCAAGTATTTTTTAAGCGAAACCCCTCACGCAGTTCCGCCGTTTGTACGGTTTTGACTTGAAAGTACTTTTTACACCGGCTGCAGTATCTTCCTAAGCCTAATAGAGAGAGCATAAAAGTAGCCGCTCCTAAATTAGGAGTCCTAATATTGTCAAAGGCACTCGTTATTTCGCCCGACTGAGGTAACATAGCATCGACTTTTATACGTGTATAAATAGTATAGTACGGTTAAATTGGAGTAAAGGTAGGACACTAGCGCGTTTGCACTCGTCTGCGGACTTATAGCCGTGGGCCCGCCCCTCTCTTCGCTTGCTGCGCTGCGCTCAGGGGGCGCCGCTGCCCTGCCCCGGCCTCTAAGTCCTCAACTCGGCAAGGCGCTGTAATTCCGAGCGAGTGTTGCCAAGACCGTCAACTCCATTTTATGCATGTTGGGGAGTATAATTGTATAGTCGGTTAGCCAATCGGGCGAAATACTCACTGTCATGGCACTCGTTATTTCGCCCGACTGAGGTAACATAGCATCGAATTTTATATGTGTATAGATAGTATAGTACGGTTAAATTGCGCCGCTGCGCGGCCCTGCCCCACCCGGCCTCTCAGTCCTCAACTCGGCAAGGCGCTGTGTTTGGGTGTGACGGGGTCACACAGCACCTTGCGCTAGAGGAAGTTATCTTCCGAGAGTATACAAACTCTCAGTGAACGGGTCCCCTCTTTAATTAAAAAGAGCGAAGTGACTAGATTGTAAACTGAGTATATTTATAGGTAGGTTAAGTTTGGGTTTAATACAAACTATAAGTTACCTATAGAAATGCAATGTCGCTACCAATGATTGGCTTTGAACGACCTTGGTACCTTGTACCAAATATCCCGGAGTATGACGTGTCATACTCCTGAAGTGTGAAGTGTCATACTTCATGTAACCAGGGTACACTTAGGGCTACGTACCCCGCTACATCCTCCCCCACTTAGGTTCGGTTTACCGACCAATCAGAATGAAGAGGTGTTCGTCACAAACTCTCATTCTCAAAGTCGAAAACCATCGACTTGGCCGCGCGAGCGCGGCGGAGGCTCACTTCACAGTTAGAGCTTTGAGCAGCAACCTGTGCGCTCTTCGTCTAGGTCCCCACTTCGACCTTTATCATGCCTCGTGGCACTGCAAAGAGCGGTGCTAAGACACGCTCCAAGGCAGCTGCCGGTAAGGCGCAAGCCAAGAGCACTAAGCCTCACGGCAAAGGCTCTGCACTCAAGGAGGCTACTCAGGTGGCCTCCGAGGCGATCGGTTCCTCGTGTGACGTGGCTGGAGACAAGCGCGCAAGCAAGCGCCGCAGTCCGTCGCCCTCGTTTTCAGACAATCGTCCGAACCCTCGGTTCGTGGAACGTGAGTTCAACTCGGGCAGTAAGGACGATGCCGAGTCCGAGAGCACTCATGATGCTCCTGCGGGCTCTGTGGGAGGGCACATCCCAGTGCCCAGTGAGCACAAAGATGACAGCGTGCAGTCGCCCTCTGGTGATCACGGTGATCACAGTCCCAGGACCTCTGTGCGCTCTGAGAGTCCGGATGTCAAGGCTAAGGGCGCTCCCAAAGCCGGTGGCGATGAGGAAGAGAATCCTCGCAAACGTCTCTCGCTTGCCGAGGGTCTTGCGCGTGCTAAGGCCTCAAAAGCCGAAGGCGCCAAGCCCTCAAAGAAGCGTACAGCCTCTAAGTCTCCACTCCGCGAGGAGAAGGAGACTCGACGCTCCTATCAGAGTCTCTTCGACTCCTCGGATGAAGAGGAGGAGAAGGAGGAAGAAGAGGAGGAGGAGGGTGCTATTGTTGAGCCCCGGGAGGTCTCGAATGACCTCGACCAGCAGCAGAAGGAGTTCCAAGCTGCCCAGCGTGTGCGTGGGGGTTCGGTGGCGGCACCCGTCAGCCAGGAAGCTGCCATCAACTCAAGAGGGTATTGGCCTCCCGAGGAGAGCTCTGGGGCTGACCTCTTCTTAGAGGTCCTCGTCGCTCCTCGTGGCCTTGTGGGCGGCCACACTTCTAGGGGCATCTATGAACGAGCCCTTGCTCAGAAAGAACAGTTGTTCGTCGACAACTTGGAGGCTGCTCGGTGTGTGCTTCTCGCGCCACACCGCATTCCCCTTAAGGACTTCACGACTTGTCGTAAGAAGCCCGAGACCCGGGGTGGTCTCTATCCTGTTTGGAGATACCCCTGGGTTATGCCCGAGAGCTGTCCCACGTGGAGTTCTTGTGAGGACATGTTCTGGGCGTGGGTGGAGACTCTTAAGTACTCACCCACAGAGTTACGGGAACTCCATGAAGATCAGCAGCTGTCCCACATCCTGGACCAGCGTGATCTTCGTGTGAGGTTTGCCCACTTGATCAGCAAGCGTATGCTGCCAAGGGACATCCTGAAGCGCGCGGCTTCTAGCGCTCACGATGAGCGCGGGTACGGAATGTATTCATCGTCCGTACCCCGTTCGGGCAAGAAGCCCCGGACTACTTATGAAGCTGCCGCCGCTTCTGTTCCCAGATTGCGACAGCCTTCGGGCAGTCAATCGGGAGCCGTTTAATTTGCTCCCACGAGTTCTCAGTGTGGGCATAACCCCTCCACTTCACGAGGAGCTGTCGCTTACCGCGACGCCGTCGCTCCTGGAGGATCCGCTCCACGTGGAATTGAACTTCTCCATTCCGATCGAGCAGGGGCGGAGGTGCCCTCGTACGAGTACGAGTACTCGGCGCCTCCCGAGAGCCACTCTCGTCCGAGTGCATCGACTGCGGGTCCGACACAGGACCCTGAGGTTGACCGCCTCCGTCAACGTGTCCTCGTGCTTGAGATTGCACTTGGCCTTGGGACTGGCGGTAATGCTGCCGCCCAGGCCGGGAATCAGGGCGAGCTCGCTCGTCTTGCGGGTCGGCTGGACCTGGTGGAGCGAGAGGTCGCGAGCCTGCACCTGCGGGTGGATCGCCGGGCCTCTTCGTCCGATCTGGACGAGGCCTTTCGAATGACCCGACGGATCGAGGCTTTGTTGCCACGTCCGGAGCCGCCTGCGGCACACTCCCAGACGTTCGCGTATGGTGCGTACCCGGCGTACTCGGCGTATGGCGCCGGGGTCCGCTCGTATGGAGCCCCTCCGGCGTACGGTCTTGACCGCAGCCTTGCCGTTCCGACCGAGGCTTTGGTGCCTGCTCCGACGCCCTCGTCGACGACCGTGACCGGCCCTCGCTTCGAGGAGCTGGGTCAAGGGGGGACTGCGAGTCAGCAACCCCCTGCGTGTCAAAGTACCGCTTAAGACGTCCGACATAGAACGTCGGGTGCGTCGTCATTGACTTTGGAAGGTCGATGGTGTACGACGCACCATGTCTGGCCAGGACTGCAAAAGGTCCGATGAAGCGATGCTTCAGTTTGTTGCTGCCGACAGAGCTGACAGTGTCAAGAGGTAGGTTCCTCGTGTCTAGCAACACTAAGTCCCCAACCTCAAATATACTTAAGTTTCCTCTTCCTTGTTTGTCTGAGTACTCCTTTTGTTTATCTTGGGCCGCTGCCATGGTATCGCGGACCCTGCTGACAATGTTCAGCTTGGTATCCATAAAGGATTCCACCTGTTTCCGCAGCGAAACTGGTCTCACATCCGAGACCTGGGAGGAAAGGGCTTTCCGAGCCACTCCCCCACTTAGAATAGAGGAGTCAGTGTCTCCTCGAAGAGTGAGAGGCACTCTGGGATGGCGGAAGCCGTTCAAGTAGAACGGCGTGAACCCCGTGGACGCGTGCACCGCGTTGTTGAGCGCAAACTCAACAACTGGAAGCTGCGTCGACCACGTACGTGGTGCTGCCGCGCACACACTGCGCAGAGTGTCCTCGAGCACTCGATTGACGCGCTCTGTTTGGCCGTCTGCCTGCGGATGGTTCGCAGTGGACATCTGCAGACGAGTTCCCAGTAAAGGGAACAGCGTTTTCCAAAACGCAGCAGTGAACCGTGGGTCTCGGTCCCAGACAATCGTCTCTGGGAGACCGTGATAGCGGAACACGCCATCGACGAGCAACCTTGCGGTTTGTTCGCCTGTAACAGTGGCGGGAACTGGAGCAAAATGTACTATCTTGCTCAGCCGACACACGAACACCAAAATTCCGGTGTTGCCGTGTCCGTCGGCGGGAAGTCCAAAGATGAAGTCAAGACTCATCGACTTCCAACAATCAGCCGGTACGGGCAGGCTCTGTAGTGGAGCCGAAGAGTGCCCTGCGGGTTTGACCCGCTGACATGTTTCACATGTCTTGACGTACCGGGCGACCCACTTGTACATGTGGGTCCACCAGAAGGACTGAGAGACCGACAGAAAGGTCTTCTCGCGGCCCAAGTGGCCGCTGGAGGGCGCGTCATGCGCCTCCGCGAGGATGTCGAGCTTCAGAACCTCGTCGTTGGGTACGACCACCCGTGGAGGATCAGTGGGCTCCACCCGATAATAGAGGAGGCCCTCCTTCAACTCATATCGGTGGAGCCGTGAGCGCTGTCGCGACGAGAGCCAGTCGGACTTCGCGCTCGTTCCGGCCTTAAAGAACTTAACGATAGGCGCGACAGCCTCATCGTCCCGATACGCCATGCGTATCCGATCATATAGATCCGTTGTCACCCGCATGATGTGGGCCAACTCATAGTCGGGACGCCGAGAGAGGGCGTCCGCAAGCACGTTGAGCTTGCCCGGCTTGTATTCGACGCGGAAGCTGTATTCCGCGAAGAAGGACAGCCACCTCGCCATCCGTTGGGAGAGGTGAGGCGAGTTAGTCGCCGTCCTCAAGGACGCGTGGTCTGTGTAGATCACAAAGGGTCTAGAGCCCAGAAGGTGAACACGAAACTTCACAAGGGCATATTTCATTGCCAGGAGCTCCTTGTCATGGACAGGGTAGTTCCGCTCGGCGGCTTTGAGCTGCCTGGACTGGAACGAGATGACTCGTTCGTGTCCAGCCGTGTCGG